CTGTTGCCTGGTTCATCTGCTATCTTCTGCCAGCATCCAGACTCTACTTCTTCAGGAGGGTATTTTGGGAATAGCTGTTCAAGCTTTTTCTGTTCTTCAACGGTCCACAATTGGTTAAATGTTTCGGGTTTGGTATCATCACACAGGTGTCTGAGGACAGCTGTCTGAGCCCTCTGGACTAATCACTCAAAGGCAAAATAGAATATGAAAGGGACTCTCTATCCTTCTTAGGATCTGAAGGACTTTTTGGTCTAGTAGGTAAACCTTTATCAAAAACTAGCATAACTCTCCTAGTGTGTCTTTTACAATTTTTCAATTCTCTTTCAAAGTTCCCAACGCTATGGGTATATTGGTCCCATACAATCGGAGGTAAGTGAACAACTCTGTGGATATGGAAGCCCTATATCAGCCTTCTTCTGGAGTTTATTCCACAAATCCAATGGGATTTTTTAGTGCTTCTCTCTGATGTCTGGCTAAACATTCAAGGTCTTGAACTGCTTGAGAATGCTGAGCCTTGAGTATAGTAATCGTCTGTAACAGTCTCTGATAACCACGATTCTCAGGTACTTTGCTGTTTTAAATCAGTGGTTCTTCCATTGTTATTTCCTTTCTGAATTTGCATAGGCTCTGGTCTCTTCTTTGGTGATCTTGATTGTATTTGAGAATGAGAAGAGATTTCTTCAGGGTGAGCAATACTACAATTCCTTAAAGTTCTACCACAAAAAGATTCATCCAAGTCGTTTAAAACCACTGTTGATCTCGTAACACGAGTAGATCGGGAAGCAGCCATGCTACGGCAAGTCCCTGCAATGGGGTCATCATGACCCACTTATTGGGAAACCTGTACAACCTAAGATCTATCACTGTGGTAATGTTACCTCTTTTCCTTATGTCTTGAAGAAGTTGGAGCTATGATCTAGAACAGAGCTTAAACATCACGGTTTCAGACTCTCAGCTTCAGCCATGCAGAATACTAGAACCTGCTGAATTCTTTTGGCTGAGTTCTACCAGCATTAAGATAGACAGGATCCTACAGATGTGTTTTTGAAAAGCTAGATATACTTTTTAAAACTATTTCACCCAGTATTTGATTCCCAATCATCTGTATTTATCTGTCATCACTGTCTATGTCCACGTTACATTGAGACTTAAGGTATTAATTATTTATATGGTTGTACTAGCACAACTTGATATCTTTCCCCTGGGGCCGGGCACCATGTGCCACTTGGGGAGGCGCCCAAGCTGTGGCTGCTCTCCACCCCCACCACAGCACTTGCTCGGGTGGTTGCTGCCACAGGAAGCTCAACAGTGGTGCTCCAGCGCCCAGAACGTGGATCACTGTCAACAGATTCTCGATCACCTTTGTAGTGTTTGTGCCACACTTTTATTTGTGCTACGCTCATTGCATCGTCCCTGAAAGCCTGCTGAATCATCCAAGTAGTTTCCACAGAGGAATGTTCAAGCTCAACGCAAAATTTGATGCAGATTCATTGCTCTACTCACTCAGTCATTTTAAATGGGACGGCCACACAGTACACAAGCTCGCTTAATGGTGTCTACTGTCCCACTGACTAGTACAGTGAAGTCATCATTGTTCATGCATGTGTACAGTGTATGCGTCATTGTTCATGCATACAATGAAGTCATCACTGTCCGCTCTCCTTGGCTGCCAGGTTACATCGATGTTGTCTAACCCATTCTTGTTATATTAACAGTGGCTGGATACTTTCTGGACAGACCTTGTATATTGATCAGCATAGCTCTAATATGAAATGATATTAAAAGTAAGAGCAAAAACTAACATTCGTTGAGTGCTTTCTAAGCCCTAAGCCTGTGGTCCCCAACCCCTGGGCTGCAGACTCGTACTGGTCCATGGCCTGTTAGGGCCGTGTATGAGAAATCTATTGAGGAGGCCTAATGAGGTAGATACGGTGGTGGCCGAGACAAAACGGTGACTTTGGAATTGTGGAGGGAGGGACATGGTAGTACACTAGGGTGGACAACTGAATGAGAGGGAAGAGAGATATGCTCTCTCATGCATTTTTCTAGCATAGGGATTGGGGGCCTTTGGTAAATCCAGGTGGCAACATTCAGTGCATCTTCCATTCTTTCAAAGCAGTGCATCTTCCATTCTTTTTCACAGCAGGAGGTGAGCAGCAGGTGAGCAAGCAAAGCTTCATAGCTGCTTGGTTGGGGACCACTGCCCTAAGCATTTTCATATGTTAACTCACTTAGACAGCAGATGCATTATCTAAGTGGCTTTATGTTTATTGTCTTTATAAGGAGATACTTAGCAAAAAT